AGGCAGGAAAGGACCAATTGGACAGCCTGGGAGGCACCAGGGAGGCACCAGGGGGCAGGAAAGTACCAATTCACTCCCGTGGAGGGCTTTGCAACGTGGTTTTAGGGTATTCACGTTCTAAGTGTATATCAAGGTATCCTTGTAAAGGATTGGCACAGCGATAGCTGTCCTGAGGCAAAGCTAAGCCCTGAGGCTCTATTAGACCATTCTTCAATGGCACCACCCATTGTTATACCATGAGCTGGTGTGATGGGCTGCGGGGTATCTTCAGTGTCTGGCCACCCAATTATGGGTGGGAACGGCCTAAGCAGGCCGGGTGGGAATTTAGGGTTTAGGGTTTTAGGGTTTAGGGTTTAGGGTGTGGACAGTGGTCGCTCGCGCTCTCGTCACGGGCGGGCTCCCCAAAATCCTTCACGCCCGCCCTACTCCAGCTGCGCTCGCTCGCTTTGCTAATTATTCCCTCCCACCCAACCCAGTCTATTCTCTTTTAGGGTTTAGGGTTTTTTCTTAGAAAACCCTCTTGCGGGCCGGTCCTCTTTTCTTCTTCCCTCCACCAGCTGGCGCACAAGCAACACAGAAACCTCGAGCCCGGGCGCGCGCGAGGCACGAGCGAGAACCGGAAGGGTGGAGCGAGCGTCGAGCGGGCGCAAAGGATTGGCGATTTGGTTGCGAATTTGCTTGTTGATGTTAACCCAAGAAAATTTGTTGCTAACCACTTCGTGGATCGCATTGCAACGCCCACCACGGAGCAGAGCAAAAAAAATGCGGGAAGGAGGGACCATATCCATGTATGTATGTATGCATGTATATATGCATACCCGCGCGCGTCTCGCTATAGTTGTGGTGATCAAAATGAATGCATGCTCGTAAGTCCGCCGTGCATCAAGTTGACAATCAAGGCTTCAAGCAGTTGGACTTGCTCTAGGACATGTACAAACCATCGAAAACGCACGATCGAGAAGATTCTTCAAGCGCTGACGCTGTGAGCTCTCTTCTTTTTCGACATCCGACTGTGCTATTCAGCGATTCTGGATGGGCCGGCTCTGTCCAACAGGCAGGCAATCAAGCAACTGTACAATCCATGCTGTCACCCGCATCCTTCGTTGCGGCGCTCGGCCTTCATTCCGGCTTCGAATTTGGGCTCTATGCTGTACCATCACTGTGCCGGTACGAAGTGGGCCGGCCGGACTTTGCCGGCAATCAAATAATCAGCGGCCGTCTCCACACGAGACATGGCCACGTACGCTGCAGCACGGCAGCCAGGCCTGTCAAGCCAGATCGTGCTGTGTGGCAGAGTTGCCCCCTGGATCTTGGGGATGGTCGTCGCGTAGCCGGGGCGGATGGGGAAGCAGGTCACATGCCCATGATCCGCCTTCTCTTCCATGTACAAGTGCACGGCCAAAGACTTCCCCATCTTCGTTGTCACGTGAAGACATTTGCTTTGAGAGTCATAGCCCTCCACAGTTGCCACCATGCCGTTCACGAAGCCATTCTCTTTGTCCAAGTTGCGGGTCAGGAATAGCCGCATACCCTTGTAGACGTCCAGGATGACAGGCTGTGGACGGCTCTTTTTCAGGGAGGAAATTTTCCTCATTCATTTCCCAGTCCATTGGGATCTCGCCCAAGGACTTTTTGCGCAGGCCTTCGAAGAGCACCTTCATAGCCAGCTCGTTGACCAAGGTGCTCGCCTTGCGAGTGCAGGTCACAATGGTGGTGTCTGGCTTTTCACGGAGAAGGCACTGCAGATCCCAGGCGTCAGGTTCATGTGTCTTCCAAGCCCGATGCCCTCGCAAGATCTGCTTGAATTGCCGCTTCGTTGGAACGGCTGTTCGCAGCGCGCTCAGCATGTCCTGCAACACAGGGTCCTTGCAGCGAACTTGCTCCCAGAAATTCACAACCTTGATGTTGGGCTGCCAGAGACGGCTTTCGTCGCAGCGCGCGTCAGCCTTGCCCACGACCGGCAGCTGCCAAAAGTCGCCTGCCAACAGCAAGCAAGGAAGTCTGTCCGCAGCATTCCACATGGCCACCACTCGCTCGAATTG